ATTTTTTTTTCTAAACTAAAGGAATCTGCTTAAGTAACATAGTAAAACCTAAGAACCTCAAAAACTTCATATCAAACTTTCTTCTCCTGTCAGTCCAAATTGATTTTGTTTTTATCTTTAACAAACATATTTGCATTTTTAATGTGTAGTACTATGTTTTTGCACCTGGCTTCTGTTTTCTTTTTTTATAAATTACATTTTATGGCTGCTACTAAGAATATTCGCTTTCAAATGAAATGCAATTATTCTTTTCACAATGCACTTTGATGAGATGCAACATGCAAATTTATAGAATAATTACATTCTTTAACCCCTTCATTATAGACAACTTATTAGTTTTTGTTTGTATAAAGGGATTTGCCTTACTTCTTGTGATGAAGTAGTAAACACAAGCATAATTGATTTGACCTTTGAGCTACTTTCATAGTACAGCAAAAAAAAGTAGTTTTGATACAAACTTTTGCATAAAAAATAATGTTTGAAAAGCAAACTTCATTTTTACTCAACAATTTCTGTTTGAAAAGGTAACAATAGGAGTAATAAGACAAATACCTATTTTGTAATTGACTGAATATGATGATGTTGGCAAAGGCAAAGAGCTGTTAATATATTTGCCGATATTACGTAGAACAATAAATATCTTGAAATTGGCACTACATAGAAAGTTGGTATGCTATGTCTGTTGAAGTTCACTCTATTTCCGACATCCATACTACCGGGTAGGTCGGATCCCTCCTCCACAGATTGTGCCCGGACGTCGTGATGCTTGGACGTCATCTACGTAATTACAGAATGCCGGGGGGCGGTAAAATGAATCTCTGGATGAACAGATAAAAACGAAAGCTGAGAGGAGAGTTCAATGCACTTTGAGAAAGATCGCAAGATTGAAACGCGTTAGTGAGTGGAACTAGACATTATTGTTTTGTGTTACAGTCCTTATTACTATTTTTATTTTGTATTATTTGGAAGTAAAAGTTTTTTAACTCATCTGACCATTGATTTCTACCTGGGAAAGGTGAACATTGGAAACTGCTCTGATAGCCAGAATAAGCCGATTATTCAATTGCTTATACAGTTACAGCCTGCTTTCATATGCTCTACAGAGTGTGAGTGACCCAATACCATTATTATACAACATTGTATTTTATATACAGTATTATGCTATATGTATTTGTTTGCTGTCATTTACAGAATTAACAAAAAGACCCACAACTCTAAGAATTAACTATTTGTTTTTTGCACCCCCTTCACTGTGTTTTTGTTGGTACTATATATGTAGTGTTTTTTGAGTGATTTTTTAGACACTAGGGGTAGTTGCTACTACATAACTTAGCACCAAATCACCCGTATTTTAGCCTATTTTTAGGGTAAATACCTTCTTTTTCCTGATTTTATTTAGGGTTGTTAATGAGAATTTTCAATTCCACTCTTGTCCCCCTGAGTTTTAAAGACATATGAAAGTCTATTTTTTAGTTTTTACTTCTTGTCCTTCTCCTTTCTTGAATTAGTGTTTTATTCAGTCGGTTTTTTAGATGCCATTTTGTCAGAAATTTATCAAAATTTACTAATTATCTTCTTTTTCACCCGAAGGAGGAGAGGGGGAAGACGGGAGAAAACAGATAATATTATAACTTCATCTATTGGAGTTCTTATTTTTATTAGCTGAAAATTTAAAAAAAAATGTTTTCAATCTCTTTTGGCAAACATCAAGTGTCTCTTATTTTACTCTGCAATTTTAACTGTCCTTCTTTTTCCTCATGTGTTTAAGAGCACACCCGTTTTATTTATATTTATTATTAAGGTTTCTCTCTTATCCTTTGTCTACCTTTTTTTTTAAATATATTAGCCTTTTTCATCAGACCTCTTTGAAATAGGGAGCACTTTATTTTTAATTTATTTATTTCTCCTCTTTCTTTACCTTTTTTCCTTCTCCTCTCTTTGTTACTCTTATTGTACATACATACAATACAATATATATTCAATTATAATTATTTTTGGCAGTTTATACTGACTTTTCATTCACTTTTTTTTTTTTACTCATGGCACCCAGGATTTGTTATGCTGCAGCTGACTTTATGTATTCAGGTGTATTTAACCCCTTAAGGACACATGACGTGTGACATGGCATGATTCCCTTTTATTCCAGAAGTTTGGTCCTTAAGGGGTTAAGCGTATTCAAGCAGGGATGGGCTGGGCTCCCCTCTCAGTCCCTTTTTTCTTAAGATGGCATTTTTGTCATGAAGCATCCTCCTCTCAGCCACCTTTTTCGTTAGTGTTTTATATTTATAAGGCTGTTTGAGCTCCCTCCACTCTCCCATCACAGCTCCTATTTGCAGCTTACTTGTCCTTATCCCTTCATGTTCAGCTCTGCACTCTGCCTTCTCCACGCTACCTCTGTGACAGCGTGGGACCAGTCTCAGCTCATCGACGTGGTGTGCGTGCGTAGTCACGTCACCATCTCCTCCCCCCAGGAATCGTCACAATTTATAATTAAGCTCACTACCTCAAATTTATTGAGGTATGTTGTAATACAAATAATTTTAAAAAGCTCAATTGTGAGTGAATAACTTTATGAAAACTACATATTTTATAAAAAAAAAAAAAAATTAGACAAAAAGAATAATGTTTATTATGAAACAAAACATATGTTCGCAGTGTGAGTCAGGCAATGATTACAACCAAGAATTAAAAACAGCACAAATAATTATCCTAGATTACAAAACACATACTAAATTTAAATAGATATAAATTATCTGTTCCACAAAACAAACTTTTAATTATGTTTATATGATTTTAAAATACATTAACACAAATAATCTTCTTAGATCAGAAAACATATTTATTTAGAAAAGAAAAGAGTGCATCTCAAATTTTTACATTTGCCATAATTGTTTGCAAATACAACAATAGATGTAAAATATAGCATACAATGAAAATGTTAATAGTTTTCCTACAGCAAACCAAATCTTTATTTTTGCTTTTAATTTTTTATTACTGCTTTTGTTTGCACAGATGCAAAAATGCACATAAAATAAATATATTGACAATTATTTTCCATTGTATTTGAAACTATCTTTCCTTCTTGAACAATATTTAAAATGAAATGATTGAGTCACTTTAAATAGTCATATTTATTTTGTTGTGCCACTATTTTTGTAAATTAAAGGTGCAAACCATTCTGGATTTTTGTTACCGTAATGTTTGTAGTATTAAATTAACAGCATTAATTATTAAAGCAAGCCATTCAGGATTTTTCACCATAAATTTTTTACCATAATATTACTATTATTCTTTTATTTTTTTAAGTGATGGCTCTGTGATCATGGCTTAAAAGCTCACTGACTATCGGGCCTGGAACTATGACTCGTGTATTTTTAATTATAAAAACAGAGAGCACTATTGTTTTGTCTTTTTACTTCCTTTTGAGCCTTGTGGTCCTATCTCCAGTTGGGAAAACCTACATCATTTCTTGTGAGTGGAGTTCTATACCATCAAACACTGCCCATACTAGAGCTAATCATTTGCACAACTGAATGTGATTAAGCCATCCTTATTTAAATGTATTGACACTTCCTGCATTTGACATACTGTACCATTGGGTTTCCTCTGTGTTTTATTTTACAAATTCATACGGATTTTGCTAAGACACTGGTTCATCATCTCATCCTTTCCACAAGATCAGTTATCTACTTGGGAACTCCAGTTGTATCTTGGTCGACTACCAGCGATACTCTATCTTCTTTAATCATAGACGTTGGACAGTTCATATTGATTTTATATTGTTCCTATTTTATTTTTATATATATATATATATATATATATATATATATATATTACATTTTCATTATCAAGGTTTTTTATTTTGTATTTACTATCTGGGGCACAGTTTTTTTTTTTTTTTTTTTACATATACTTAAAAGATTTAGCAGGGATTCTCTTTTTTTTTGGTTTGCTGCCTCTCCTCATAATTATTTTTGTTTGGTTAGTGCTGATCTTTTCCTTCTGGTTCTCTTTGAACAAATACATAATAGGCTATTAAATTACCGTTATGACATTAGACTGTATGTAAAAAAAAATTCTTATTATGGTTAAATTAGGATTACAGAAGGCATGCCATTTATTTAGCAGGGAAAATTACATTTGTCAGATTTACAGGACATTTAACTTTAGTTTGGAATGGTATATTATTCCTTTCAGGAGAGAACATTTACTTTCATTAGTGACTACAGGTATGCATTTTTTAATAAAAGAATATTAACCCCTTAAGGACACATGACATGTGTGGCATGTCATGATTCCCTTTTATTCCAGAAGTTTGGTCCTTAAGGGGTTAAACATGGTTAAGAAACTTCATAATTTCATGGCAGGTTACATAAGCCATGAAAAGACTTGAATTAAAAAAAAATCTATCTTCAGACACATTGCAAACTAAAAGACATAAGATATAATTTCATAAAAACTGTTCAAAATTGACCTTCAAAATAGTTGTGCTTTCAACTCACAATACTTTTTAAATACTAAGTACAGAGCCTGGGCCTTCTTTATACTAGTTTGAACTGGGCAGTTATACAGAGTAGGCATTTTGTCTGTTTTTTTCCAAATCTATTGTATCTTAATTGTTAGTGAAATTAGGAACCATTTTTAATACTCTTTTTCTTTTTGCGTAGTCCACACATTTGCAAACATGATCTCTCATTGTGACCTCTATTAGACCATATCTAGGTCCGCAGCAGATATTATTTTTTTTTTTTCTCAGTTCTTTATATTTCCAGCCTGAAATTTTAAATTTAGGTCAATGACTTTAATCTATAGTCTAGATCAATGGTCTTTAACCCAGTCCTCAAGGCCTATTAACAGTCCAGGATTTAGGCATTTCCATGTTTCAATCCAATGGAGATACTGACAAAACCTGGACTGTTGGTGGGTCTTGAGGACTGGGTTTGGAAACACTGTACTAGATACATTCAAGTATATTTTTCTCCTTGTAACCATAGGTCAAAAGTAGATAACCCTAACAGTCAAAGAGATTATTCATTTACATATAGTCAGTGAGACTATATGTAAATGAATAATCTCTTTGACTGTTAGGGTTATCTACTTTTAACCTATGGTTACAAGGAGAAAAATATATATTATATTATATATTGCCTATGATTGGTAACATATTGGGAATTCATTTACATATTAGGAATTGTGGCAAACTATATATAGGTTAAAATTAGTCATGTGCTCTTCTGTTCCAAAAGATCAACAGTGAATGCACTAATAAACATGTTTTTTTTAGAACATATTGATTGTTTAAGTGAGTTTCAGCATTTTAGATGTATTCACTAATACACGACCACTATTATATTTTTGCTATGCATATAATGGCTGATACAAGTTAACCTTTAGTAATTTTTGACAAGTAGCATCAAAAATATGTTTTCTCTTTCTCTTTTTGCATAATCATAGGTTTTACCCCTCTGTTGGGTGGTCCGTATCTCAGTCACAACTGTACATATGCATGTTCTAAAGCACATTATTTGAGTAAAAAATGCAGTTTTGCTAACCAGATATAATCAGTTTTAAAAGTTATAACTTTGTTGTCAACAGCTGTGGACATATCTTGTTATAGTTTAAAACTGTAAATAAGAAGGGTTATTAGTTTATATATAAAAACTAGATATAAAAATATCCTCATTGCTAAAAATGTCTTATTAAGCTTCCCATTAGAAACTTTTGAAAGAAATTCAAATAAATTAACCACATTTATCTACAAGGCCATATAAATGTATCTAGCATCTTTGCAGGAGAAATACATTTAGTTTTCTCAAGTGGTTCATATAATTAAATTAATTTGTCTTAATGAAAGATTATGTAGTGCCTTTAATGATACAGAATAGCTGTTTAGATTGGTCTGGCATCCATGGTTGAATAGACTATATTCATGGTAATTAAATTGTACTTTAAAGTCAAGAATTATATGGCAATTGTTGATTATCATTATGTGTTACACTATAGAAAAGCAGATTGATATTCCAAATGATAACAATTATATGTTCCTTCCCATAGAGAATCCATTTGCAGCCTCTTTTATCTCTTTTATAAATCCAAATACATTAAGATAACATTTTAGTAACCAATGCATTACTGTAGTAATATAACATTGTCAAGCAATGTTTGCATGACAAATGGCATGTTAGATAAATTATTCGTACATTTTTAAAGTATAACAGATGTCACGGACCCAAGGATCCTCTTACTTGGGTAGTAATTTTACAAGGGACATTAGCTGTTTCAAGTTATTTGAATTATATGGACAAAATGGAGCTGAGTATTTGCTTGTTTTGGTGGGGCTGAGGGTTGTTTTCAGCGAGAAAAACAAGGAGTTATGGGAAGAGGACTTGATGGGGTACTGTATGTATGCACCCTATTGTATGCAAATGATCATCTGTGGGTTTAAATACCTCTACACAGCTGCAATAAAGCCATTTCTGTTACACCCATACATGTAGTCTCGACTCATGGTGTGGGGTAAAGTCTATAATCACTCGCTACATCTCACCTTTGAATGCTGTTCAGAGTACTTAGAGATGGGCATCTGAGTGCTCCTAATGGCATTAAATACATTGACTCAGCAAGGCAATTCAGGATAGTCCGAAAATAGCCTAGGAAGCTGATAAGTAATGAAGGGACTCAGCCGGTACTCAGATTTTCTACAAAATTTAGGAGTCTGTTCAATTTGAAACATTTACATTCATACCTTATTGAAATACTTCTCAAAAGGCATACATGCAAAAAAGTTTTATTCTGAAGTACCATTTGGAAAATATCACTTTAGGAATGAAAAATGCTAATGCAACAAAGTAACATTCATTAGAAAAATCTATTTATATAAACTCTAATTAGTTTTTCACCTAGTTTTTGCTTCCAAATATTAAATTTCATCACTCCTAGGGTGGAAAAAAGCAAATTTTAATTATCAAGTTGCAGATTGCAAAATAAAGACGAGAGCCAGAATTGTTGACAATTTAATAATTACATAGTAATGGTGGATAAAAGACTGTTAGGATATTTGGGACAGCCTAAGCACCAGAACCACAGCAACTTAATGTCGTGGTTCTGAGGCATTAGTATTGTCCCTGCAGGCGCAGTAGTGTAAAAACTGCATTTTCTGACTAAAAGTATTGCTTACATTGTTGCCTAATGCCATCTTTAGTGGCTGTCACTTGGATATCCAAACCTTCATTTTAAGCCACATTTGTTCTAAAGTAAACAGGTTCACATTTTCAAGCCTACACTTTTCAAATCTAAATAGAACACCATCCCAACATTGAGAGTAGAAGTTCCATCCACATACAATTTCTAAATAAGTTGTAATTGAGCAAATAAGATGGTGTTAACGTTTCACAGAAATATGAGCAGCCCTACAGTTTACCTAATTCTTTCTATGTACAACCACCAAAATTGTGATATCTGATTTCCTATTTTCTATAGTACTGTTGGGACATATGTGTTTGTACTATACTCAAATTTCAAGGGTGGAAATGCATGGGGTCCAAAAGGTAACAAAATCTACATCCAATGATACTGTTTCGGTAGAACAACAGCACTGTTGTGTGAGTACAGTTTGCAATACCCAAATGTGAAATTCAAGTTACAAAAGTGCATTTTTAATAACTATTCTAGACACAAGTGGCTACATTTTGAAATAAATTGTATTGCACTTCAAATGTCATTTCTCTGAAATCATTAAGCTTGACAAGGCATAATTACCTTAACCATATACTTCACAGGTTACTGAACCAATACTTTCAATTCACTACAAGGTATCTAGATTTGGCTCAGTAGATATATTGTTTTAGTTCTCAATTTTAACATTTGATCGCATACAGATTTGTTTGATTGAAAAGAATTTGTTCTGCACTAATAACTGCCTTTTAAAATAATTTTCCTCTTAGAACTAAATTGTAGTGCAATAGGCCTTGAGATATGTCATTGGCAAGTGAACTCCATTTGTAAAACATTACATTTAAAATTATGTATTGATAAAAAATAATATTATTTAAAAGTGTATTGCTTGCCTATGGCTACTTCAATAGCAATAAATTATGTTCTTTAAGAAAAAAAAGTTAGAAAAGATAACTAATATAAACATAGGTTCTCTTAAAATTTCAAAATAAACTGAATAAAAATTTCAATAAAGAATTAGGAATATGACACAAATATATGTTTGCAGTATAATAAACATAGCAATTGCATTGTCCATACAACTTTGTGACTGACATTACCTATACATTAATATACATTTCACAGCTCAGAAACAAATGGAATATTGGTTTATTGGGTTATGAATAAAGATTAAATAATTAATGGAACACATATATAAATATTATATTTTAAACTATAATAGTAACCACTGTAAATATATGCAATGCTTTCATAGGGGAACTTAATATATATCAATTTCAATGTAACTATTATGGCTTAGAAGTATAATTATCATACAGAACTGTCTCAGTGACTCTTTTAAATGGTTACAATGAAATAATTTGATATTTTTTTAAATACAGGATATAACGGCAGAAATAATGTTTTACTTAATAATGCGTACATTTCATTACCTCCAAACACATGTTTGGGCCTATTTTGGATCAACTGATACATCTGAGTAAAATGGACAGAAAAATAAAACTGCAGGGTGCAGTCTACAAAAAAAAATAAGTCCTTTATATGATAATGTAGTGCTACAAAGAATATATAGGGTAATTTTTATATAATTATAACATCTAATCACCCATAAGTTTAGCCTAATGAAAAAAAGAGGTCTGATTTCCGTCTCTTGCAGAATTCTATATTTTCTTTTTATTTGTACAAAAATGTAGCAATTATATGCAGTCATATTATAAATTAGATTATGCAATATTTATTGGTAACAAAGACTTTTGCTAGAGAATGGGTTCACTTGCATATTGAAAGAGCCTTGGGCTTACTTGGTTCATGTTTAATATATATTAACATAACATTGTGACCTGTAACAGAACTACCACAGTCACAGGAGTCGCAGCTGCGATCGGGCCCATCACTCCAGGGGGCCTGGTTACCCTGCGGCCCCTGTGACTACAGTGCCCACCAGCTAAGTAATGCAGACACAGTCCGCACGGTATTGAAGGGGTCCTTAGCAGCATGGGCCACCCGATTTCAATGTATTTTAAGGAGGCCCGGTCAATGCCATGGCGCTTTAACAGGGGGCCCCCTATTATAACATCAGATGCTGGGAGGAAGTGACTGCCCTGATCACCTCCTCCCAGCAACCACCAGGAGCTGCACGGGAGGAGGAAGGAGAGGAGGGAGTCAGAGTGGGAACTCTAACTCACATCAGCCTAAGCCACCACTGGACCACAGGAAAGTCACCCTCCTGCATCTAAAAGGTAGGAAGCAGGAGTGTGACTAAAACATTTTGTATATATGTCTGTATTTGTGTGTGTTTGTGTGTATGTGTGTCTGTATGAATGTTTCTCTGTATGTGTGTATGTATGTGTGTCTGTATGTAAGTGTGCATGTATGTATGTCTGTGTATCTCTGTGTGTGTGTGTGTATGTCTGTCTATGTGTCTGTATATGAGTGTCTGTGTGTGTGTGTTTGTATGTATGTGTCTGTATGTATGTGTGTGTCTGTATGTATGTGTGCCTGTATGTGCGTGTCTGTGTGTATGTGTGTGTCTCTGTATATGTGTGTGTGTATCTTTTTGTCTGCATGTGTGTGGGGGGACGTATGGGAGAGGGAGGATAGACGTATGGGGAGGTAGTGGGGTGGGAAGATATGGTGGGGGAGGATAGACTTTTGGGGGTGTAGCAGGAGGTAGACATATGGGGGGACCCAAGGGCAATTTTTGCACCAGAGGCCCGTAGTTTCTAGTTACATAAAAATGCCATGCAACGTTTACACTACCCATTAGCAACGTGTAAAAATGATAGCATTTGAATATAAAGAATATAGTAACACATAGAAATTGTTATCTATTCCTGTTTAGTAAAACAAACACCAGAATCCCAACAGGAATGGCAACAAAATCTCATATACGCAAGTAAAGGAACCATTGAATCCAA